TTTATAAATGAATGAATGTAAATGCAATCTCAGTAAATTAACAATGGTCTGGAAGAAAAAAACAAAGGAATAATTTACACCATTTAGATTCAAGGGATTAGCTGAATTGAACAAATTAGCCTATTAATATTGTAGCATCCCAAAACAGAAAGTGCTTAATAAATATTTGATGACTTACTAACTGTAAAGTTTGTTTTTGTTTTCCTCATTAAAATGTGTGAATAAACAAAACAAAGCTAAAATACATGTCTCTCCATGTGGGAAAGCTGTGATCACTAAAATCTAATCTGCTTTGAATTTCCACAAGTTACCAGCTACTCTTTAAGGACTCAAGGGATTGTTGACATTAACCAGGATTTCCAGGAAATCAAGATTTGATTCAAATTGAGATATGTAAGATTTTAGGAACCCAAAGATTTAAAAGGCATTAAAATAAATGTTGACTAATCACTTCAGAAAATCAGTCTGGGATTAGATTATGTTCTTCTGATAAATCAGAAAGTCTTAAGAAAGTGAATTAAACACCACGCACATTAACATCTGTGTTTTATCTGTGAAAATATAATGAACCATACATTTACGTTGATATTTTACTTGTATTTCTTGTTTGCCAAATTTACTCAATTTTATCTAAATATGGTATTGTAGGATCATAACATGACCACATTGGATATTCTATTGCATTTTCAGGGAAGAAATAATGCATACATCTGAAAATGTTTAATCGTAGAATGACACAGTTGCAAGGATCTTTACCAACTTTGGAGAGAAATCCCTTCTCTTCTCAAAAGGGGGAAACAAGGCTCAGAGCGGGACAGGATCAGCTTTAGGACATACCCGTGGTTCTCAGCAGAGACCGCCTAAGTGCACGGTCCGAAATGTCTATCTTCTCCACAATCACCATCTTTGACAGATGGTTCTTCAAAAGGAGAAGCAACCGGCTACCAGCTGAGCTGCCTCTTGAAATTTTTCCTGATTATTTTAAGTTACTTTGTTGCTAAAGTTGTGATAGAAGAGAAACAATCCATTCCTTGCTATAGAAACAACCAAATGTTCACTGATGCCTGAGTAGAGTTTAGGGGAAAAAAAATAAAATCTCATCAAATGACCTGTATAGCTACCGACTGACCCCCAAATAATGGTAATAATAACTAAAAGGTTTGACTGTTTACTCTCTGCTGAGGGCTATGTGCTAAGCATGTTAAATGACTTTTATGTGACTCACTTTTGAGAAGCATTATCTCATTTAATCTTCCCAATAACCTTATAACATGTATTATTATAGCAATATGTTTTAAATAAGGAAACGGGTTCAGACAGGGTAACTAACTTACCTATTGTTTCATTGCTGGTAAGCCAGAACTTGAAACCAGGTGGTCTGGCTCTGGACCCTTAACCAGGCTTTTAAGCTTTATACTATGTCCCATGGAGAAGGGAATTTGCTATTTGACATCAAGGAGAAGTCCCAGGTAGCAGTGGTCATGCGGGCAGCTCATATAGACATCTCCAGGACTCAATGAAAATCTGCCTTAAAACTGTATCTGGGAACCAACCCATCATTTTTCTTCAATCTTGAAGTGAAAAATTCCCACCCCACAAAATACAACAAAAACCCTTGTGTTTTTTACTATTTTGTTTTTTTGTTGTTGGTTGTTTGATAATGCTTTATTGGCAAGGTTTCCTTTGTTTGATAACCGTTTTTTACTGGGCCACTTGAAATCTGAAGTTGGAGTGTCGTTGCTTTGTGGAAGGTAGTGTCCTATAATGTTTTGTTTCCCAAGCTCTGGTCTCAGAACTGCTCTACACACTCTTAAAAATTATTGAGGACTCCAAAGAGCTTTTGTTTTTTGGG